GTGGCGGGGGGGGTCGTGGATGGGGCTGGCTGCTGCTGCTGCTGCTGCCCCGGCCGTGCGGGGTGATGCAGGCTGCTGAGTGCGACACTAGAGTCCAGCGCGATCTGCAGGTCCAGGATGTAGTCGATGACATGCTGCAGGATTTCCATCTTGCTGACGTTCTTGTTCTGCGGGATGCTGGGCACCAGCTCCTTCAGCTTGGAGTAGCAGTCGTTCATGTTGTACAGCAGGCTGAGCGGGTCGTCCACCGGGGTCTTGCTCCGAGAGATTCCCAAGGAGTGTTCCGTGAAACTGCCGCTGCTTTTCCGGAAGGACCGCACGGGGCTTATTGCTTTCATGTTGTCAGTCGTGGAGGTTGAGCGACGGAGCGGGTTCTTCCTCTGTGGGTGAGTCGGCTTCTTGCTTCGTCTTTTCTTTTTTTGTTTGTTTGTTTGTTTTTAATTCCTATTTCTGAGCCAGACGGTGAGCGAGCAGACTGGATTACGGAGCTGTCAGTGTGCTTTTTATAGGCAGCAGGCTGGACATGCGGCACAGGCGGGTCCAGAGCTCTGATTGGGCGCGGCCACACCGTCACTCAGCGCCTTGACGCTCCGCCATTGGTCCCTGTGAGTGTAGCTCCGCCCCTTCCCCTGTGCGTAACCTGTGGAAACGCAAAGTGGAGGCGGAGCGCAGAGGGCGCTTCAGCAGCTCCGGTGGGCAATTTGGAAAATTAAGCCCTTACCTGTTTCTGATCAAGAAAATTAATGCTTTGCACGGCTGTCAGTTGACGATGCCGAGGTGTGGACACTCAGTCAGAGTGGAGTCCACTCGGAGATCAGACACTAATGGATTTGGACTTTGTTCCACAAACTCACTCAGTCCAAAATGTAGGACATCCAGAATAAAAAAACAACAGTTTCTGTCACTTCTCCACTCGTGATATTTCTAACCATGAATGCATGTTTCCACTCCACCAGATCAGTGTTTGGTGAGGATGATGGTGACCGGTGTGTGGCGGCATGTGAGTGCGCAAAAAACCAGAGGAGAGTCCACAGAGGAAATGTGTGAGTGACAATCCAAACAGAAACACCTTTTTTCCCCCCTCTCTCTCTAAACATAAAAAGCTCAAAGATCAACAGTTTTATAGTTTTACTGCATTTACGCATACCAGTACTACTCCCTGGTACACGGACTCCACCTGATCCACAGATTTACGCACGCGTTTTTTTCTTGGTGTTCATTCAAATTAATCTGCGTGTCAGGCTGAAAATGTCATGACAACACCTGCAGGAGTGATGCGCTCTGCCCGGCCCTGATTCGTCACTTTATTTATTGCATCATTTTATACAGAGGATTTGTGTTTTTGTTTTTGTTTTGTGTGTATTTGTGGGTTGTATGAGTGGCCCGGTGCACCTGAGTGGTCACGGTCACCTGGGTGTGTTGTGAGTCACAATCCGTGTCTGTGAAACCTGCACACGTGACGAGATGATTAAACACTATTGACACTCAGTGTTTTCAGAATGACTCATTTAAAATTACACGCCTCATTCTTTCAGCTGGAGACTGTTTGATGCTGGACTAATTGGCCCCGGGGCAGCTGTGTGTGTGCGTGTGTGTGTGTGTCTGTGTGTCATGTGTTGTCATTTGTGCTGTGTCAATTCAATTGACACCAATAGTTTAAAATTGATTCTTGTTAAAAAATAAATGAGGAGGCGCAGTTTGTGAATAAAAGACAGGAGTTTGAAGGTTTATTTATTTTTTATTTTTTTGGAGAGATCAGCTCAGGGCACTGTAATGTAATGAGAGTTTGTCGCTCGTCTTTGGATTTTGTAAACTAGTACCTAAACCTACAACATTTAAAATCGTTTACAATTAAAAAAAAAAACCTACATTTAAAATCGTTTACAATTAAAAAACGTTTTTCTATGGGGTCATTCCTTCAGTTCGGTTCAACTCCGTCAGTGCCGCTGCCTTTACGCGCAGCAGCAGCAGCAGCAGCAGCAGCCACAGCCATGGACGGTCCCTCCTGCAGCCGCCCGTCTCCTGTGCTTTCTGTGCGCCTTTACGCATGTGAGAAAACGCTCCTCAGCTCCGGCGGTCTGTGTCCACATCTGGTGCGATTGTATTTTTCCATTTTCTCCCCTTCACCCCTTCGCACCCGCAGCTGCGCCCGATCTGCGCGTCGCCCCTCACCGACGGGATGACTGACGCCTGACAGGCAGGTGATGAATTGGCGCAAGAGCACGTCGGTGCAGAACCTGGAGCGAACCACCGCAACCTCTGCCTCTCTCCCTCTGTCTCTCCCTCTTTGCGCACAGACTCTCTGGCGCCGGCGCCGTGACGTCATCCCATTCACAGCAGCCCTGCAGCCAGCCCTCGCGGCGCCGCTGAGGCGGTTTCCATGGACACGGGGTTTCGGGTTGTCAGCTGATCGACCCGGGACTGGGTTTGGGTCGCTGCGGGTTTCTTCCTCGGTGGTGTTTTTTTAAGGACCTGGGAACATTGTCAGATCACACGCGGCTGCAGAGTTCCCCTGTTAATCTGTGCCTGTGCAGCAGGACAGGCAGCGGGGAGCCCTCATGTTCAACCACTGATGGAATGTAACTGAGCCCCCCCCCCCCCCCCCCCCCCCCGTGCTGCTGCTGCTGCTGCTGCTTGTACATGCTTGCAGCTGCAAACTTGAAATACAGCCCAGAGCAGAACATTCAAGTCTTTTTTTTTTTTTTCACAGACCGCATTCATCTGGTGTCACATTAAGGTTTAACATCCAAAACATGTTGCTTTAATCAAAATATCATGCCAGGCTGTAAATCACAAATACTCAACTCTCAACCTGAACCAATTACCTCAAGTAAAAAAAAAGTCCTGACACCTTAAAGGTATATTCCTACTGTTTTTTGCTCAATCTGTCATTATAATAAGGAACAAAATCCTGCCTTAGAATAATGTGTCATGGTTGGAGAATTCTGCCTGACTATAGCAAAGCTAATCAACGTTTAGGAAATATTGGAAAGTGCTCAAAATATAAGTACAAGCACTACGCAACACCTCTGATGTTATCAGTCAAATATGTTCTTTATTAAGGGGTGATTTAAGCAGACGGTGGTGTTTGGTTACCAACTGGTTCTTGTTGCACTGTAGTGGCGATGATATTTTGAGCAAATTAGGATGAAAAAAGACCAGTTTGAAAACCAGTATTCAAAGGGAAACCTTTATAGCAGCCAAAATAGTACTTAGCTGTCAACTAGTTTTACAAAACACATGTATTTCAACATGTAGAAAAAACCCATGTGATACTTAAAAATAAAATAAAAAAGTTAAAGTAAGTCTCCTACATTTGGACAGATTTTTGTAAAAATGTGATTTAATTTTATTTTAATTTGGAAAGTTCTCCTAATAGTGGTCGCAAAAATACATCAGGTTGTTGTTTGAACAAAAAGTCTCAAATTTAAAACATCTAAAAAGTAAAACAAAAAGTTAAAGTTAACTGAGTTTACCAAAAAAACCTAAACCTAACATGATCAAAATGTCCTTCACAGAGTTAACTGAGTTTACCAAAAAACCAAAACCTAACATGATCAAAATGTCCTTCAAACATCTGAGAGAGAAAAAGAAAATTTCTCACCAAACAAATGTCATGTGACTGAGAGTCACAAAGTCACCTGAATGCAGCACAATAACCTTTTGGTATTTGAGAAATCACTTTATCTGCTGTATATTTGTAATAACATGACTTATGTTGTAACTTTGAGTGTTCTGTGGTTTTTGGTCACTGCATTTTGTAGTAAACTCACGGTGACAACACCTGTGTTGTCAGTGTGTGAGCAGCACCACTGAAACTGTAAAGAACCGAGTGTCAGTGAAGTGTCCTGACTGGAGCTGTGGACTCGGAGAGTGTTGACTGTGTGGGAAGGGAGATCAGTGCTCTTATAATTTCAACCTTTACATAAACAAACGAACACAAACTCTTCCTAATCTCGTGGCACTCGGCGATGGTTCGACGTCTCTCCTTAAAGAAACCTCTTTGACCAGTTTTTTTTTTTTTTTTTTTCCATCACCTCCAGAGCTCAGTTTAAATAAACTCCTCTTGGCTTTGTTTCTCCTGCTCTGCTCTCCACTCGATTCCAGATGTGATGACCGACCTCTGCCAAAATGTGACCCAGAGTAAGGCCCAGTCACCAGTGTTTATTTAGGCTATATTTACCATGAGACACCGAGGTTTCCTTCCCATGCTGCCCACGCAAGAAACAATGAGCCACACGTCAACTTTTTTTTTTTTTAAAAAGTTTCTCCTAAGTCTAATTTGTCCCTATGTCACTCAGAGACATTCCTCTGTCCCTTTGAACAAACACGGGGCCTCCGCACACCCCTCCTTCTGTGCTCCGTATTAGTTTGGGTTCAGGAGATAAGGTTTGGAAAACAAAGCGGCTGAAGTCCGCCCTGCTGCACCGGCGTCGGACTGTCTGCTCCGGTCGGTCAACTTGTTGATCCTCCTCCTCCTCCTGCGTCTCCTCCTCCGTGCAGCTGCACTCAGCCCCCAGAGTAAATACCACTCAGCACTTTTGCCATAATGGAAAAAAAAATACTTTAAAACAACTATTAGAAACAGGACAGAAACAAGTCCCGGAGTTCGAGGGAAAACTTCCCTGCGCGTCTCATCCAAAATGTTTCCACTGATTTAACTCTCAAACAAAGACAGACTGAAAATCAGAAATGATCGATACCGCGTCAGTAGCTGATACTGACCTAAGTACTCAATCCCAACTGCAGTATTTACCATCTAACTTCTCGGATTTTAATCTTCCCAGATACGGAACGCGCACTTTTACGCACGGGACTCCGCTCCTGTCCCGCTCCTTCTCCGTCCAAGTTCCTCTCACCCCGGAGAGTCAACTTTTTTCCTCTCCTCTCTCCCGGTCAACTGACCCGTTCTGCGCTCTGCTCTTTCTCCTCCACCACCTCCTTCTCCTCCTCCCCCTCCTCCTCCCAGTGCTACTCTCCATCCGCCTGCCACGCGTCTGACGCGTGGAGGAATCCTCAAGTAAAATGGGCGGCAGGGACTCTTGTAGCAGCGTGGACCCTTTGGGGGCGTGGCTTAATATTATTGTACACCCCCAAAACAGCACCGGGGGTAAAGAGGCTCCAAAACTGTGCCCTCCTCCTCCTCCTCCTCCTCCTAATCCTGTTACACCAACATTTGCCCCCTGGGAATCAGTCAAGTCATTCTGAGTCTGATTCCGGAAACACCGGAAACACCGGAAACAGACCGGTGTCTGACGGACTTAGAAACAGAAGCACAGGTTTAACAGAAACGATTTGATTGAATTCACAGAATTTGGTAAAGAATCATGTCCAGCCCTAATAAGATGAAGAAGAAGAAGTCACCAGATACTGGATACATTTTTTTAACCAAATTTGGATTTTATTTCAATAAGAAACAACCTCAGTTCATCCAGTCTCCTGCTCATTCACTCCCACTCCCATGAACACATA